CCAATGGGGAGCAACGACGACTGCCCCTTAAATAGCGAGGCTGCCAGCAGAAAGGGGACTCTGCTGTAGGACACGCTGCGACTACACGACACTGTTGCCGAAGCGAGACCGACCACAGAAGGCCAGCTGCTGGACACATGGACCAGAGTTCATGTACTTGTACAAGTGACAGTAAAGTACCATCAGTTATCCATTCTGTCTTCTCTTCCTAACACGCACTGGGGGAACATAACCGGTGTTGACACAGGAACACACTAGGTTACAACAAAAGCCTTCCGCTTACTGGCATAGGGTCGAATCCAACTGAGGTCGCAGAGCTTTTCAAAACTGTTTACTTGTATTGAATACAAGCTAATCCATATTTTCGTACCTCCAAATAAGAGGCATAATACGATAGCACCACGTTCAACTTACTGACAAGGCTGATTAAAGATGTCTATGCACGCTACACCAAACTGAAGAGGCAATTGATGCATATTGTCATGCCAAGACAAAAGAATCACTCACAAAAATGTTCATAGTAAAAAGCTTGCGAGCACCTACCTATCTCTCTCTCCCTCAAGGGTGATCACGTGTTAAGCGTGATTAAAACGAGGGTTTCGACACATGCTTTAACGAACACCGCCTTCAACTTGCCGGCTATCTTGAAAATACTAAATAAAAAGGTTGTGTCTGTGCGCGCTAAGCAGAGCTGTATCTTTGAGATGGCATGTGGTTTTCGATGAAAACAAATTGGGTAAACGCAAATTTCAGCAGAGCACATCAAGGTGGCAGCTGAGAGTCGAAAATATGCGAGCGGTGGATACCAGACTTAGCAGATTCAACCATCCGCTGTCAGGCCATGCGGAGGCCACACAGGTACGGAGAGAGAAGTGGGACCGTGCAAGCAGGACGCAAGGGGATGGGCATTGCCCGTAACCTTATAGATGAATGCACTTCAACCACGTACACATACATATATGCTGAAGAGAGTTCCGAAAATGCAAAGCGCAGTAGTTAGGGCGTTAGAACTCTAACAAGGTCGAGGGTTCGAACCTCGGGGGGGCAACGCTTGGGGTTGAGTGTGACTGGCTGATGACGGCTAATAAACCAGAAATGGCCACTCCGGTCTCCCTGCTCTTTGTTGGTTGTGTCCTTCTGTCTATATCATTAGCTGCTGCGCGGCCGCAAGCGCGGCTCAAAGGCACAACAGAACGACTGAGTCCTGTAACCAATCGGTGAGCGCCTACCAACCATTGTAGAGACGTATTCCCTATTCTAAAACTGGAATGAGCACAAATTTTTATATGCCTGGCCTCACAGAATACATGAACTTCATCTGCTCGTGTTAGCAACTGAAAATAGATGAATACTTACTAATTTCACAGGACGGTCATGTAGAAAGCAGGCAATTTTGAACCGACAAAGACAGAGGATACTGAAGTAGCAGCA